CCTAGCTGCTAAAACTGGACCACCATCCTTAAATATCTCAGGGGTCAGTCTATAAGGACCTGCAGCTCGTCCTCGCTTCAGATTTCCTAACGCTTTTTCAACTTCATTAAGACTAGGGGGACTTACGTCGATTTGCCATTCAGGATGACTGGAGATCGTGGGTAACTGAAGAGTGGCTCGAGGCCAGTTGAACTGATCCTTAGTGTTCTGCCCATCGATCCAGTCTCCTGGATTGAGAATAAATAATAGTCCCGTCATTTTCTGAGATAGTCTCACTTACACAAGGATTCCTAATTCCAGTTTCCTTGATAAGTCAGAAAAGTTGTCTACTGTTGCCGATCGCCGCTGCCTTTTCCATCGCTTTTGCTTTCGCCACCCACCACTGTTCGCGATCATTACGTAGGCTTTTTATAAGTCTGCGCCTAGGTTGACTTCGTTCCTCATCATGTTCAGAGCTAGGTGGGATGAGTTTTCGGGCATCCATCAGATCGGTGGATGCTACTGAGATCCACGGCTTCATTCTAGCCTTATGGTCAACCTTACTAGCAGATATCACTGCTGTTTCCACAGCCTTTTTGATATCATTCCATCCTGCTTCCGGATGGGAATCGCTTAAATGGTCGCCTAACTGTCTTTCTAGTTGTTCCTGAAATATATTCTTTGCCTTATTATCATTAAGTAAAACCCTAAGAGGCTTTCTTACGGTGTCTTTCCTACGCCCAGTAAGCTTCAAACAAATACGCGCTCGCACTAGGGCATGATCTGAATCTAGACATGTGCTCCAGAACGAGCGACAGTCCTCTATCGAACCCCTCCATCGGTGGCTTATGGCAATGTGATCTAGTTGAGTCCAACGTTCAGACGACTTTGCTACGATAGATAGGGGAATCAAGGGCCTGATGGGAAGGTATAGGTACCTAGTTAGCTTGATAGGTCATATCCATGTTGGATGGCGGGTAGGCATACTGCCGTAAGTCCTACTCGTTCTTCCGGTGTGGATTAGCGGATGAGTGGGAACCCTAAATTGAAGTGTCATTAAACGCTTGCTTTTTTGCATGGAGGGATTTAGCGGGCTGGTGTAGAATCCTTTTTGAATGTTTTGTTTCTTGGAAAATCCCTCCATGTTTATATATTTTTGTTATGACATGACGGACTCTTTCTGTTGACATTTTGGTATTTTATTTGATTCCAATTTGAGATTTCATCATTGTATATTGTTATTATTTCTATATTTTGTACTTATATTGAAGTTTTTATGTTTGCTTCTGAACTGTATAAATGTTGTTTAAATTTGATCCTTAATATGGCCACAGCCATATTTGGATTGATACTGTGGCGGTTGGACTTAACGTCACTTATTCCCCTTTAACTTGGATACTCCTCGGAGTAATTGTGACTTGGAAAGTGCATCAAATTCAGGTATTGAATTGTATTTCCATTTTTTAATATAATATAGACCGTTTTCTCCTAGAATTTTGTGTTTTTGACATTGGATTGGGAGATAACGCGTTCGAATTGCACTTACTGGAAACCATTTGAACTGCTACGGTAGAAAATCCATTTACAGTCTGAATTTGATCAGAAGAACAATTACAGTCTCAATTTGTTGCGAAGACCAACAAATTTTGGAGAATAAGACTACTACAGTCTGAATTTTGATTCGACCTTTGATTAGAAGACCAATTACAGTCTAATAAATCGGAAACCAAGCCTACTACAGTATGATTATTAAGAAGAATAAAGAAGCGTTTGGAATTTTAATCGTTTATACTATTAAACTTCTTGGAATAAGAACCTTGGATTACTTATCGTATTTTTTGTGATCGAACTGTATTTTGGAAAATGATTTTCTGATTTGGATATTTGTTACCTGTGGAATTCCTATATTTTGTATTTGTTATTTATCTTCCGTTGAACTTCACTTAAAAATGACCAACCGCAAGGAAACAAACACGAGGAGGGTGGAGGAGCTTGAAGGATCCCGAAATGCTAGGCAAGTCGTTGATGATGCTTGTTTAATGGGTTCCCACTTTATTAGTGATGATGTTATGTCTGATACTTATTATTGTAAGTCACCCTTGGCAGGCATTAAGGAACAAGGCTTAAGTGAGTGTTCTAAGGTACCAGAGACGGATCAGATGCTTAGGACACCGATAGTAGGCTTAGAACTACCTAAGGTTGAACTTTCATTCTTTGATGGAAAATCTCGCGACTACTTTAGATTCATTAGGCAATTTGAGATGTTTATAGAACCCAGAGTAAAAGATGACAATTTGCGTTTATTATATTTAATTTACTACTGTAAAGGAAGGGCAAGAAATGCGATTGAAGGTTGTATTATAATGGATCCACAAGCGGGATATAAGAGAGCTAAGGCCATTTTAAAACAGCTCTTTGGACAGTCGCATGTAATAGCCCGGGAAACCTTAGAGGACTTATTTAGAACTGGGAATGCAGATTTTAATGATCCTGAAGAATTGACGAATTTGGCCATTAAAATGCAGAATGCTGCTTTAACCTTAGAACAGTTAAATTGTACAACGGAACTTCATTCCCTGGTTATTTTAGAACGAATAGTTAGGCTCTTACCTCATCGAATGCAAGCCCAGTGGGCAGAGCTGGGAATCAAGTGGGACGAAGAGGAAAGAGAGCCATTTGAACTGCTACGGTAGAAAATCCATTTACAGTGTATTATTCCAAATAGATGTTGTTTTGAGTAAGAATAATAGAACGATTTCTGATATTCGATGTCTAACAACGCTATTTACCTAACAAACAATTGTCAAGACGATCACACAGAAAAAAGAAATACAATTTTGATAAAGAAGGCATTAAGTACATTGAAAAAAAGCATTAATATTTTCTAAATTTATGTGATTTAATTAAATTTACACGTATTCCTTTAATTTCACCAGCATATGGTTTAAGTTCTTTACGAATTGGTGCAACACGTGATTTATAACGAATTGTTGCTTTACGAAATTTATGCCGTAAATGAACTCTAGGATTACGTTCACGTTTATGTCGATATTTAACTATACCTTTATTTTTCATCATCTAAAATGAAGAAAAACAAATAAAATTGGGATTGAATTGACAAGAAACATTAGGAAGGAAACGTATTAAGTAGTAAAAAGATGTGATAGATTGAGAATTTTGAAACCATGAGTCAATCAATGTTAAACCACCATTAGAAACCTGGAAGCACTGGATGGCCATTTCTTTCTGGTATGGGACTCCTCAGCAGTGCGCATCCACGATTCCTGCACCCCACAGGATTCGAACTCAGGACCCTCGGTATTGTAGGCGAACGCCTAACCATCGGACCATTGAGCCGGTATCTAACGGTGTTAATGTCTAACTTGATCAATTCACGGAGTTCAGCAACCTCATACACAGTCTTCGGTAGTTACTGTCTACACCCGAACAGGTTGAACTTCACTGGTCACGTCTTCCCACTAGAACTCGAAGAAGATTCCTCACGAAGCTAGTCACTAGTGAGCACAGGTAGTTTGCATTACGGTCTAACATTGATCGATTCATGGTTTCAAAACTGTGTAACTTAACAATCTTCACAACCCCGTAATGCAGATTGAGAACTGTTTCATTAAAATGGACTACTACCACTACTACTACTACTATAATGAAAAGATAAGTCAGTCTCAGCTACAACGTAAAACTTCGTACGTAAGTGTATAAGTTCATGTAACCATAGCATATTAGCACAGAGAGTTGCAATTGTCAGTTTAAATTTCATAATGACAGAGGCAGTAGAAGTATTAGTGGTAATAGAAAAGATTAGGGTTCGAAAATATTATTCAAGGAGTATATTCTAGTGAACTTAAAAAGAAAAAGACAGAGGTGGTGATGAATAATTCAGAAGGTTTGGATTTGAGAGAACACCTACGTCATTGCAAATGATTTTGTGACACGTCATTCAAGGTCTCTAACCATAGGTTACTATCATCTCACGGACCGCGATCAGGTAGTCTACACTTAACAACATGACTTACTGAAGTTGTCAGTGACTTCATGGATTTGTACCATGTTTTGGTTTGGCCGCCCGTAGCTTTCTTCTAACCTACTCCTACACCAGAGAACATCGCTCATCGACTACGAATTGATCCAACAGGACGAGTCCTCAATGTATGATACCAGATTTATTAGTCAAAGAAATGTGCAAATCGGTCAATCAAGGTGCAGTGGAACTAGGTTTTTAGAATCTCATGAGGTAAAGGTAGGGGAGGGTATCAATTTTTCGGATTGAATAAAATACAAAAAAACGTCTGCAAAAACTGTTCAGTCTAATCGCTAAAAATAAATAAATTTGATCGAACAGACTTTTCTTTTCCTCTCTACTTAGCTTGAAATGCAAACTTACCATGAAAACCATTGAATATACATAGAGAGTTACACATTTTTGAAACCATGAGTCAATCAATGTTAGACCACCATTCGAAAGAAACCTGGAAGCACTGGACGGCCGTTTCGTCCTGGTATGGGACTCCTCAGCAGTGCGCATCCACGATTCCTGCACCCCGCAGGATTCGAACCCAGGACCTTCGGTATTGTGCGCGAACGCCCTAACCGTTAGACCACTGGGCCGGTATCTAACAGTATTAATGTCTAACTTGATCAAATTCACAGAGTTGCGCAACTTCATACACAGTCTTCGGTAGACACTGCCTACACCCAAACAGGTTGAACTTCACTGGTCACGTCTTCCCACTAGAACTCGGAGGAGATTCCTGACGAAGCTAGTCACTAGTGAGCACAGGTAATTTTCATTACAGGGGTTGTTGGATACTTTTCGAAATCTTCATTATACCTACTTGAATTTAGGAGATAGCCAAATAATATTATAAATTCGCACAAAAATTTATAACCAACTGTATATGATTAATGAGCTATACTTGCAGTTAATAATTACTTATTATCCAGAGTTTATTCAAACATATTTTCATTCAAGTATCAAATCGTAAAAAAAAGCACTTATTCCATTACAAATTCAATAAACCAACCTCTTTGCTTATTGGACGATTTGGTAAATCACAACTAGATTGATTAACTATTTTCGAATCAATGATATGCTTTTCATCAAGTTCTACAGACTTATCACAATCACTGTCAAATTCTAATTCACTGTCCATTTGTTCTTCTTTTTCATCATCCAATTGACTGTCAACAGAATGACTGAAACAGAAAGAAATATTGTTCAATAATAATAATAATAATAATAATAATTACAAAAGAAATATTTTGATTGAAATGAAACGCCCAATGCTTCTGCAATCATATTCAAATGTTGACTTTAGCAAGTCAACTAACTAGCATGAGACAGTGAGATATGATAAGTTCACAACACGTGTGTGTGTGTGTGTGTGTGAGTATGAGTATGTGTAACTGAATGTCATTAATAGTCGATATTTGATGAATGATGATGTTGTATCGCTACTGTTGTAATGCTTGCTTATATATAATTCCCAGCTAAATCCTTTTGCTTAGTATTCTCTGACCATTCAATACACTGGACAAGTTACAAAGAATCAAAAAAACACGGCTGAACAGGAAAAGATTATATTCCAAATAGCAAGGTTAAACGGAAATAAGAAGCCAAAGGTGATGGCAAAGGTGAAGGCGAAGGCAAAAACAGATACAACGTTAGTCTATTTATAGCATTTTTACATGAGAAGCTTCTGGATAGAAATTCACGTGATCGACCGGATTACATTTAACCAATCAGAGTGCAGCTAACAATACGAGAATCTTCTACCCTGTTCTCCAAGATTCGATCAGGCGCTGATTGGATAGGAAATTAGCCAATCAGCGCGCAGCAACGTAGTCATGCTTTAATTCATCGATGTGGTGGTGAGATTCTTGAAAATATAATTTTCACAAATAAGTATAGGCATTTTGCTATATACTTCATTTAATTTAGTTTGAACAACTGAGTAGTATCACCAGTATCCTAACACAAAACGGGTATGACTGAGAGCCGAATATACAAATCGATTGTTGATCAATGGGTACTTCTTTAATAATAATTTCATCATCGACTGGTTTGTGAAGACGACGTCAACATCCGGAAGGGAGCACGTGATACAATCAACAACTAGGATACAGCTGAACGATCTGGCTCTTCTATCGCAAACACGCAACAAGAAATGTAACAGAAGACGACCAGTGTTGCAGTAGCCTCAGCAGCAGCAGTATGTATCATCAACAACACACAATGGGAAAAGCAAGATTCTCCGATACAACACAATATGAGCCGACCAAATCATTTTTGATGGAAATGCCGTGGAGGTATGGAGGAGGAAGATTACTGACATACAAATGTCACCGATAAAAACGCAAGTTTGTTAAGAAAAAATATACACCAGGAAACAATAATATAAGGTTGGTTGACCATAAAAACTTTTAAACACAACATTATAAATTTTAATTCATTATTACTTATCATTACTGGAACGATTATTCAGTCTATGCAATAATTCATTAGTCTATAAAGAACAAAATAAAAGAAATAGGGAAAATATTGACGTAGAAACAAGCTAAGTAGAGTTTAATTCAAGTTGGACTACTCGATATTGATTTAATGAATAAAGAAACAGAATGAGATCATTTCAAGACTTAAAAGCCTCCTCCATCGATTGGGGCGTACAGTGAGATTTACGTGTGATAGTCGTATTTCACTATTATAGATGACGTTGATTAGTCAGGAATACTCAATCGGTCATTCTGTTTTTATACTGAAATCATGAATGAATCATTGTTAGGCTAACTGGAAGCACTGGATGGTCGTTTCGTCCTGACAAGTGACTCATCAGTGGTAGTGCGTATCCACGACTCTTCCCACTTGCAAGGCTCGAGTCCAGGATATTCGGTCTTGTGAGCGAACGCATAACTTCTCGATTGATGAGCCAGCATCTAATGGTGTTAATATCCAGTAAGTTGACTGTTGTTCCTGAATTTAACAACACAGTGATAGTGTTTTTTCAACCGAAGTTAATTATCATTTAGAGTGGAAAATTTTAGTATTTAAACATAAAGAAGCCATGATAGTCATCTGACTTGAATTAACTTCACTAAAATATGGTACAAATCCATGAAGTGTCATTGACAACTGAACTGAATCATATTAGAATGTGTAGGCGAAACAATAGTAATTGAAGCTTATATGGGTTAGGGCATAATGCTGTGGAAATTATTAAACTACGTCACGATACAATCCCTAATTTGGAATCTTCAAGGTAAAAGGTGAAAAGGAATTAAAAACAGACACTGAAAGACTGAACAACACTTGAAAACAACTGAGAGGGCAGAGTTGATTGGAGAATGCTAGCCGGAAGCCTATATATACTTCGTAAAAGGGTAACATGGATTAACTGAATCCACGTGCACACAGAGAGAGAGAGAGAGAGAGTAACAGAAACTTACGATTTTCTTTTTCTGATTTTTAATATTCTTCACTTCATTACTAGGCAATAATGCATGTAAGCTGTAAAAAAAAAGAAATGCAAAATTATCGCCTGTATATTCTGATGAAATTATTCAATTATTATTTGCTAAAGTTAAATACAAGTTTGCGAATCAATTTGATCGAGTGAGTTATTATCAACTCATTTATTAGACATAAAATTTTAGTCTCACAGTTTAATTACGAAGGCGAGTGATATTATTTAACTGTTCACAATTTGGGTCACTTATGGCATAGGGAAGATATCCATCTGCTGACCGACGGACGAATGTACTGCGCATCAGTTCGCTCCATGCTACTATATGGCTGTGAAACATGGCCGGTAAGAGTAGAGGATATTCGTAGAATGCTTGTCTTCGAAGCATTGCTCGTGTATCCTGAGACCACCGAGTAAGCAATGCAGCAGCTAGGAAGCGGGTACTATGTAAGGATGGCAAATTAATAGATGAAGTATTGAAAATTCATCAGTTAACGGGGTTGGGATATGTGTTACATATGTTCAACTACCGACTGCCTCGACGAGCGATGTTTCGTGGTGTATAAGTAGGTTGGAAGCAAGCTTGGGGGCAGTAGGACAAAAACAGGACACAAATTCATCAAGTCGATGACAATCCAACTGAGCCATGTTAGTAAGTGTAGACTATCTGGTTGGGGTCCGCGACATGATAGTCATCGACGGTTAGAGATCTTGAATGACATTGATCAAAATCGCTTGCGATGGAGCAGGTAGATTCGTTCTTTGCGTTCTCTGAAATTTTATTCTAAACGTTTTATGACCTGTATATTTCACTGGATTATATTTCTTGAATAATATCTTCGGACCGCGATCTTTCCGATTACTGTTCATACATCTACTACCTTTACCACTATGGGATTCGAACTGGTAATTGCAAAAATAGGGTTCAAACTTGCGATTTAATCACTGAAGGTTGATCATCTTAACCAATAGTGAATTGGTTCACTTGAAATCAGCTGAACATTAAGTGGGGGAGAGGTGGCAGTGAGTCAATGAAATGTCCTCATATCAAACTTTACAGTTATATGTACATGTACAATCAAACAGGCATGATCTAACCGAGAACCACTATTGGGTCGTGATGAAACATTGACAAGAAACAAAATATTATGCAGTCATTGAGAAACAGAGAATTCAACAGTTTACAATTTCAATATGCACAACTATATGACATAATGAAGCGTGTCCCATTCACTTACTTACTCACTCACTTACTACTCACCATTGTTCTCTTATACTTGAATCATTGATACACGTAGTGAATGTGATTGGATTCAATGTATACGATCGACCAGATGATAAAGATTGATTGATCACTTGAATGAGACGATTTCCAATCACATTAAAATATCCAGCATCTTCAGTTAAACATTTAAGTCTTTCCTTTAAAATTAAAACGCAAAACCGAAAATATAATTAGATTTTAACTGGAGTCATATGTTAGATTTTAGTCGTAGTTACCATTAAAAGTAAAGGACTTTAGAAACACTAGTGTGTACAATCTCATCAGTGATCAAAGTGAGAACTTTCCAGGCTCATGGTAAATGTTTAATTTATTAAGAATCACTTCAAGCTTCAACTAGTTTGTGATATGAGACGACAATTATTCACTACTGTGAATGGTCCCGGTTAACACTACTCACGTAAAATAAACTCTACCAGACACGGGTTTGAGATAATCGGGTAAGAAAAACCTAAATAACCTAGATTTCATGGTAGCTAGAAATTGTCAACAAACTGTAATCACAATCTTGAATGGTATAATGTCGTCTCCTGTGGGATTCGGACCAGTGTCACCGAGCTTTACAGTCGAAGACAATACGATTGCATTATTTTAACGACACTCCTGAAACGATCAACTAATATCTATTTATAAGAGTTCTAATTATGCTATTGTTAATAAACAGAACAAAATTCCGACCAGTTTTTGTTAGTATATATGTATTCTGAGAGGGTGGCTTCCATATAGATAGCTTGTCACAAGTTGCAGTAACAACGGTATAATCCAAATCGTTAACAATAAACATTATAACCATTTAACAAGTTAGTGCTTATGTGGACCCAGAAGACTAGTAGATAACGCATTGATATTCGAATTGATTGTTCCCAGCTCCAAATCTCCATAAACATTACCAATGGGATGTCGATAAATTTACCGAACCGGTCGGTTTTCAATAAAGTGTGCTGCGAATGCCCAACCACCGACTGCCTCGACAAGCTACGTTTTGTGATGTAGAGTGGGAAGGTAAGCTGGAAGAAAACTAGAGGTGGCAAAACCAAAAACATGGCACAAATCCGTGAAGTCACTGACAGCTGGATGGAGTCATGTTGGTAGATGTGGACTACCTTGGTTGGGGTCCGCGAGACGTCAGTAACCGATGGTTAAAGATCTTGAATGACAAAGTCTCAAAACCGTTTACAATGGCGCAGGTGCATTAATTATTGGTCTTCTCTCAAATTCTAATTCCTCATCACTTTTATCATTCTCTTTCTAAAGTTATCTCACTGAAGTATACTTCTTGAATCATATCTTCGAACCCTAATCTCTCCTATTACCACTAATACTTCTACTATCTCTACTACTATGGGATTGGAATCGACAATCGCGTCTTTCTGTGTACTAATGTGTTACACTCGCCTCTAGGTATGCTTAAACTATTACGAGATCGCCTTAGACGAACAACGAGAACAAAACAATGAACCAGCGTCCAGGTGGACTACTGTGATCATTGACCAAACTGTACCAGCAAGAAGTATTGATATAGAGTAGAAAGTGTATTCTACAAACACCAAACTAGCACACAATGAATCCAAGTAGAAAAATCGCGTTTATTTATACACCATAGAGACGTCATTGAGAGAGTCACAAAAGAGCACACTAAAATGACACAGTAACCAATCACAATCAAGGATTTTCCTGGTGGGAAATGTGATCTCAAGGTCAACTGATAAGTCCATGAAATAAATCCGAAATAGAGATATTTATCAAGCGATTTCTGGGGATCTAACATCTCCAACGGTATGGCAACCTGAACTGATGCACGTACGTACGTACGTATGAAGTTCTAAGTTGTAACTAACTAACTAACTGACTGTCTGAAAGTGAAACACCTATATTCCATATTTAGATGCAATCCGCCTACACTAAGTTTATGGATATCACTTATAAACAAAGATACACTGATTGATTGTACAAAGATTATTCACACACACACACAAAAAAAAACATTCATCATTAGTTCATTGCCAGTAGAAATGATCATAATATATAAATAAATAATATCAGCTTACTTCATAATGTTCTACAAGTTCTCTATGTATAGGATTATGATGAAAAGCTGATGTGAATTGTAGACGATGAGTAAAGTATGTCTTTAGCAAACTGAAATATCTGAAAGAAAGTGAACTTGATTATTATTATTATTATTATTATTATTGATAATTGATCAACAACTAGGATTGGTGATTATTGAATAAACAGTTAAATCTGCAACAATATATATATTATGGATATATGACCACGAGTAATATAAAAGTGTTAGTAGGACATAGATGGAATTAAAGCATGACTACGTTGCTGCGCGCTGATTGGCTTATTATCCAATCAGCGCCTGATCGATTTTTGGAGAACAGGGTAGAAAATTCTCGTGTTGTTAGCTGCACTCTGATTGGCTAAGTCTAATCCAGTCGATCACGTGAATTACTGTCCAGAAGCTTCTCATGTAAATACTGTGAAGAACCTAACGTTGTATCTATTTTTGCCTTCGCCTTCTTCGGCTTCTTATTTCCATTTAACCTTGCTATTTGGAATATAAATCTTTCCTGTTCCACTGGAAGAAAGCTAGGTACGGAAAAGTCGAAACACGCGACAACTCCATGAAGTCACTGAGAAGTGGACTGCGTTATGTTGGTAACTGTAGACTACTTGGTTAGGGTCCACGAGACGATAGTAAACGATGGTTAGAGACTCTAAACGACATGGCTCATAATCGTTTGCAATGGCGCAGGTGCATCTACTCCTTTTCTGCTCTCCAATTCTAATCTTCTGAATTCCTCATCACCTTTATCCTTCTCTCTTTAAATTTATTTCACTAGATTATACTTCTCGAATGATTTCTTTGAACCCCAATCTTCTCAATTGTCACTAATACTTCTACTACATCGACCACTATAGTGTTTGGAACGACAATTCAATCTCTTTGCTAATGTGGTACAGCAACCTAAAGTTCTATGTTGTAACTAACCGATTGGCTGACTGACTGCACAAAAACCTCGACTTTAAAAACGGAACTCAAAGATAGAATTCACCGCTACTATTTTTGTCTCGAAAACTTCACACAAAAAACGTTTAGCTCAAAATTGTCGAGTAATTAATAACTAAGTTACGTTATCATAATAATTTATACACAAAAAATGTTTTAAATCGACAGAAAATAACCAATTCAATTATGTACAATGTTTGATAACATTATCTATTTACTAAAAAATCAATCGATAATATTCTTTCCCTGAATAATGATCATTTTAACCGATTTACACTTACCAATAATTACACTACGGTGGAGTTTCGTTCTCTCAGCTCGATGGTTTGTTCGTGGAGTTTTCATTGTTCTTCTAAACAACATCGTCAGCACAAACTTTAAGTTGAGAAGTGAAGCATTCGAATTTCCACACATATGACTCCCAAATTATACTGTTATAGCTTGACTCTTTATATTGATTGTATCCTCCTTTGGTTGGATTCTTGATTCTATAAATGCCCGTGATTTTTTTGATTGGTTGGTACATAAGATCGATTTTGATGTGTTTATTGAATGCTGATTGATTTGAGCGCCAAGCTTCTAAAAATTCACTAGTGTTCTCCGTATTCCCCTCTATCCAAGATTTCAACATGTTTTCAGTCGAATGTGTGTCCATAATTGTCGACATATATTGATATTAGGAAAGATATGTGAAAGTATTTGACTGCTAATTGATGTTCACGAAGGCGAAGCTGAAAGGGAAGTCCACTTTGTCCACAATCGGGACATTTTATTTTACAGATGATGTCCGGTTTTTCTTCTTTTGTCATCTTATCATTCGGTTTGGTTTGTGTACTACACCAAATGGTTTCAGTAGTCGTGCTGTAATTCCCGATATAACTCCGCCTAGAGCTCCTCTGGTGCTACTGTCGGTCTCAAGCCCGGATAAAGCGGGAGAGTTGGGCATGCAATTAGCGATCCCGTTGAAAACGAACTTGCTAAAACAACGCAAACCAGAAAAATTAATTCAAGCCAATTTTCGACACATCCTTCACATATGGTAGAATGATCCATTTGTTGGTTTCTATACTTGATTTCGTTTTTGATGATGAGTTGAGTTCGTATTCTTTGATAAAGTTGTATGAGTTGCCATTCTTTTGAAGGATAGTTATCAAATATTTTTCGGTATTATTCCGTGCTGCATATGTGCAGCAGTGTGTTCCCATCCTCTTGAATAAAGTTTGTACGCAGATGGTTTTGTGTGTTTTTGGGCTGTTGCTACTGTAGTTGAGAATTCGTTCCGTGTGCGTCAGCTTCTGACAAACTAAAGTCTTCAATTTTTCTATATCAATTCTAGTGATCAATACATCCTGGATTGATAGCTTGTTATTCAGTTCCTTCCCCATTGTGAACTTCACGTTGGTCACATTGTAGGTGTTTTCCAGCTCATCGCTTATGATGATGACGAATGCTCCTGCGATTCTACGATAAACCAAAACTACACAAGCCGACATCCTAAATCTGGAGATTGAAGTACATCGGCAACCAACTCACACACAACAAATTCTCATTTATATTAACACCAACCCAAGAACACACAAAATCAACTGCCATTCATCATTATCTAGCCCAAGGGACAACTTCTTGAGGAATGTCACGTACAGCCTTTTTATGAAAGGATTTTTGAGTATTAGCTCCGCTCTTTTTAAAAGCACTTATTGGGCAGCCCTTACCACTGGAGATGGAAATCCGTGAGGTAGGGTGAGGTGTGACATTTTTAGGGTCGACCTTTTCTAACCCTTCCTTCCTTGTGAGAAGGCAGCAGCATCGCTACAGATGCTGGTTGTCCGAGGGAAACACCTTACTGCTGTCACCCCCCTATGCAGTCAGCAGTACGACTTCACCCTCAGACCTTGAGTAGCCACTTTTAGTCTCGTCATTCTCGAATCGACCTGTCTGGCATGGGAGAACCTTCAGGAACATATGTTCCAACCAATATAGCTCGGATGGGTCATCACACGATAGGCAAGCCACTCAAGTACATAAAAAAAAGATAACATTGATCGATAAAAGTACATTTTCAACATACTTTTCATATTGTGTTGAACGTTTTTTCAAATAAATTATAGCAACACAATTCGATGGTAGGCCACGAATACGCGCATTCTTATCCAGCTCAATATTATTATCATTATTACTATTATAATTATTGATTTCATCATTCTTCTCCAAACCCAAATTCTGTGTTAATGGTCTCCATTTCTGTTCTAACCAACCAGTTACTTTATTTAATTCACTAAACCAATGACCACAATCTGGATAGTTATCATTTAAATACTAAAAAAAAATGATCAGAAAAAAAATGAAACAATTAATTTACAATTAACGGTTAGGGCGTTCGCGCACAATACTGAAGGTCCTGGGTTCGAATCCTGCGAGGTGCAGGAGTCGTGGATGCGCACTCACTGCTGAGGAGTCCCATACCAGGACGAAACGGCCGTCTTTCAGTGCTTCCAGGTTTCTAATGGTGTTAGTCTAACATTGATCGATTCATGGTTTCAAAGAAAATGTGTAACTTAACAATCTTCACAACCCCGTTATGCAAAAAATTCATCGGTTTATTAGAAAGAAAAGATTATGTTTGGAGATGTTAGATCCCTAGAACGTACTTGGAAAAGTTCCAAATTATGTAATTTTATGCTGAAACTTTGAATTCACATGCTTTTGGCTACAGCTGACCTTCAGATCATATTTCCCTCTGAGAAAATCCTTGACTATCATTGGTTGATGAATTATTTTTGTGGCTTTTCCAAGGGCGTTTGTATAAATAAGCTTTATTTGTGTGCTTGAAAAACATGGTAATTACTCGGTGCTTGTAGAATAATACACTTATTACGCCTTATCAAGACTTCTTGATCTAGTTACCCTGGCCGGGTAAAAATGGATTAGAACCAGTCAGTCAGTCAGTCAGTCAGATACAACGTAGAACTTCGTACGTAAGTACATCAGTTCATTTCGCCATACCACATAAGCACTGAGATGTAATTGTCAATTCAAATCCAATAGTAGAAGAGGTAGTAAAGGTATTAAAAGTAATCCGAGAGGTTAGGATTAGAAGATATTGATCAAGAAGTATGATTCAGTGAGAAAAGTTTAGAAAGTCAAAAGTAGAGGTGCTGAAGAATCCAGAAGGTTAGGATTTGAGAGAACACAAAGAATAAATGCACTGGCGCCATTGCAAACGGTTTTGAGCCATGTCATTCAGGGTCTGTAACCATCGATTATTATCATCTCGCGGACGCCAACCAGGTAGTCGACAATTACCGACATGGCTAAGTCCACTCGTCAATGGCTTCATGGATTTCTGCCATGTTTTGGTTTGGCCGCCCCTAACTTTCTTCCAACCTACTCCTACACTACAAAACAAAGCTCTTCGAGGCAGTCGGTGGTTAGGCATACGCTTATATCGTGTCACTGTATCAATGCTATCGTTCCGTTTACCGAGTAAGGTGAAATCGTAATAGCATTCAAGCATATTAATTGGCGAGTATATCAGATGATTCACAATTTAGCTTGTTTCTTCGTCGTAAGTATCATTCCAACAGGTTTACTAGTCTATTTTCAACAGACTGGCGCTGATGGACAAACTTAAAACGATTTCAACTTCATGAATGCCACACACATCTAATAATTCGGTGAATAAGTTAGATTATGTTTTGAAAATGATTATGACGACATTACAAATGCCACAGATGAAATCGATTAAACAAAGGACATTTAAGTTACGTATGATCTTGATCTAATTAAATACATTAGTGTTATGCTCGACTCTAGGTTTGCTTAAACTATTACGAGTTCACCTTAGTTGAATAACGAGAACAAAACAATGAAACAGCGTCCAGGTAGGCTACTGTGATCTCTTGACCAAAATGAATCAGTAAGAAGTCTTGATATAGTGTAGAAATTGTATTCTACAAAAACCCAGACAGCACACACAATGAATCCAAGCACTCAAATTGCGTTTATTTATACTCTACAGAGACGTCCTATGGACAGTCA